TGATGCTCCCTTTCTAGCATCGCTGCCTCACGTGGTCTCTTTCCATTGCTCCACCTTTAGTTAGATGTATCTTAAATTCTCCTATTCTTAAGTGCATTGCTCTCCAGTAGTATCCAATTAAAAGTATCAGTTGCTAAAGTCTTAAAATTCATTTCCATTTTAGTAAGAAATTTTATAAGACTGAAAAATCAACAGAGGAAAAAAAGAATCAGTGGAGCTCTTTTTGGATAGAAGTGCTTTTAGCTTATATCCTTTATATTGGTGTACAGTGGTTTCCTAGTTTTAAGAGCTTTGTCTGAGATACAAACATTTATTTCCTGGGGTATTGGAGACATTTTTTGAGGTTACACATTCTGTGTGTATCTTATTTTAAAGAATGAATAATGAGAATAAGCAGCCATCTTGTGTTATCAGACAAAAGACCCTAAACAACAGTTGGGTATTTGGAATTCAAGATCACCAATGAAAAACTCATTAGTTTATAGGTGTATGCCTAGGAGAATGTCCTGTTACATCTAATTAAATATACAGATACATAGTCATGTAGGCAATGAAATTATTCTAGTTGACACGATACTGTATTGAATCCAGAGGTAGGATTTATCTATAAGAAATAAAATATAAAACTGAATTTTAGTAAATGTGAGTTAAGATTCTATGATATGACCAACAACAAATTATTTAAGCTCCCTGACTCAGTTTTCAAATTGACAAAAATATACATGACAGAAAGGAATTGTTCTCTTAAGAGGTAAATGTGATACCCGAGTGGCAAGCAGAAGTAAAATTCACCCTAAAGGAAAAACCTCTATTTCCGATTTCTTTTTCTTTCAATTATTATAATGTCTCATTTTTAATTAACAGACCCTAAAAAACCAAATCACACTCCTGTATCAACGATTGGTTCTTCTCAGCCTGTGACTCGGCCGTTGCAACCCATTCAGCCAGCACCCCCTCTTCAGCAATCTGGGGTGCCAACGAGTGGACCATCTCAGACAACGATACACTTACTACCTACAGGTAAATTTACCAAACCGGTGAACTGAAACTTTAGTTTTGACTACAGAGAAACATGATTGGAATTGAATGGAAAGGTTATCAGAGAATTAAGCATAATTCTCATTTTTTTTTTTTAAATTGTACTTTAGATGAGGGTTTACAGAGCAAATTAGTTTCTCATTAAACAATTAATACACATATTGTTTTGTGACATTGGTTGCCAACCGCACGACATGTCAATACTCTCCCCTCCTCAACCTTGGGTTCCCTATTTCCATTTTTCCAGCATTCCTGTCCCCTCCTCCCTTCTTGTCCTTGCCACTGGGCTGGTGTGCCAATTTAGTCTCATATACATGGTGGAGCTACATGTATTATTGTTTGTTTTATGGGCCTATCTGATCTTTGGCTAAAGGGTAAACCTCAGGAATGACTTTAGTATGAATTAAAAAGATGTCCAGGAGCCACACCTTTGGGGTTTCTCCAGTCTCTTTCAGACCAGTAAGTCTGGTTTTTTTTGTGAGTTTGAATTTTGTTCTACATTTTTCTCCAGCTCTGTCTGGGACCCTCTATTGTGATCCTTGTCAGAGCAGTCAGTAGTGGTAGCCAGGTACCATCTAGTTGTGCTGGACTCAGCCTGGTGGAGACTGTGGTAGTTGTGGTCCATGAGTCCTTTGGATTAATCTTCCCTTGTGCCTTTAGTTTTCTTTATTCTCTCTTGCTCCAGACAGGGTGAGACCAGTGGAGTATCTTAGGTGGCCACTTACAAGCTTTTAAGACCCCAGATGCTACTCATCAAAGTATGATGCAGAACATTTTCTTTATAAATTGTTATGCCAGTTGACCGAAATGTCCCCCGATCTCATTGTTATTTTGAAGACAGTGTACATCTTTTGAATGGAGTATAACTCAACTGACCCTCTTAAGTAGCTGCGTTGGTAGAAAGAAATATTAGAAAGAAAACTTAAAGCTATATATGTCTGTGTCATCTGCCACTGTAACCTGAGAAAATAAATGTAGTTTCTTTAGAAAGGGTGAGTATAAAGATTAGGTCTGAGTATATCAAGGAAGTGACTAATCAAACAAGGATTTTTAAATGAGTTCTAACTTCAACTAGTTTTAACTGGCTTAACACTACCATGAATATGGTATATGCCAATATTTTACTTGCCTACTGCTCAAGAAGGTATAAATCAGAGATTTTGAGGATGTATTCTATATCCTGTTTGCTGTTTTTAAGCCAGTCAAGACAATTCGTCTTCTTGGTAAAGCAGTTTATTGCTTAAAGATTTTACCTACAGACTACTTTTATAAGCACTCTTCTCAATAAGGAAAATGTTGAGTTCTCGTGGGATTTTATGCAGTGAAATCTTTCTTGAGAACACCAAAGTAATTTGTAGAAATAAGGATATTTTCTGTAGTGATTTACCAAATGATTTATTAATGTAAGTTTAGTAATTGTGTGGAGTTGTTGGATTTCAGAATTCTAGATGCTTACCCAGAATTTTCTATCAGTTAAATTACATTTCACTACATTGGCATTGAGAGTCAAAAGAATGGTGCTTATATGGCTTTATTTCTAGTGTAGAGGTTTTATGTAGATTCATGTATTTAAATGCTATTGTTCTATCTAAATGGCAATTACTAAGTTCAACTGTAAAAAACAAAAACAAAAAAATTAGCTGCCGTCCATTTGATTTCTGCTCATGGCAACCCCATGTGCTTCCATAGAATTGTGTTCTGTAAGATTTTCAATGGCTGAGATCTTTCAGAAGTAGATCTCCAGACCTTTCTTCTGAGGTGCCTCTGGGTTGATTCTAACTGCCAACCTTTGGCTAGTAGCTGAGTGCTTAAAACTGTTTGCACCACCCATGGACTCTCGTTCAACCGTCGGAGCTGCGTTACCTGTGTCTCTTTCCATTTATACAAAGTTACGACAGTCATCTAATTTAGATTTTTAGAATGAAATGTCATTATATAATCCCATGTGCAGCATATATACTGGAATAAGGAGTAAGGGAATTAAGAAATAAGTGTTCCTTCCTCCCTGTATAACTCCTCCTTTCTGAAGGCTCACATTGAAAGCTAGGATGTGTAAAGACTGGGGAGTCTACAGTAAAGAAACTTTTTTATGTTTGTTATATCCAGCTTTTCCTCCTAATTTAATTAGAGAACCCACTTTTCATATGAAAGTAAATCTATTGTTCTTATTATATAGTTAATGCATAATCATTTGTAAAATACGATTCCAGTGTAGAGAGTTATAAACAAAAGGTATTAACTCTTAAAATCATCATTATTGTGGTTGCGTGCTGCCGGTGAACATTCACGACTCCTTATTTGACAAATATCTATTAATACTACTCAAGGCATGAATTGAATGTTTAGTGTTTTGAATAAGAGATGGGCTAGATCACCTGAAAAAAATGTGAATTATAATAGCCGGCTGGTTTCTTGAACTATGGTAATACAGAGTTACTCTTTTGGATTTATACCTCCTGATAGAAGACCCAGAGGAGCCCATAATTCCACTCTGCTGAGAACAATTTAAAATTGAGGAGAGACAAAATGCTATTTTAAGTTATACTTTAGAGTCTAGACCCTTATCTTTTCATGCTTATTATCTAGTCAAACTGAAAAGTTGAAAAGGCGTTGGACATGGTTGGGGTGCTCTTTTCTTCTGAAACATGGATTGCACTAATATTATTAAGCTTGGTTGGCCCTACCGTTCTTACCTTGCAAGTTACAAAAAGTGACTGTTGTTTCTGTTTCTCTTTTTACTACAGTTTGCACTTTATGCAAAGATAATTGCCATTTAATGTGTTGTTTGTAACATAGAATATCACATTCTTAATGTATTTTTCTGTCTTTTGTTAGCTCCAACCACCGTGAATGTAACACATCGTCCAGTAACTCAGGTTACCACAAGACTCCCTGTACCAAGAGCTCCTGCAAACCACCAAGTTGTGTATACAACTCTTCCGGCCCCACCAGCTCAGGCTCCCCTGCGAGGAACTGTCATGCAGGCTCCTGCTGTCCGGCAGGTTAATCCTCAAAACAGTAAGAGACCTTTTCTTATATGTGGCGTCCAGTTATATATAGTTCTGTTCAGCATTTAGTTGTAGTGGCTTATATTGACGGTAGATTTAGCAAAAACTGCTTGTAATGTTATATTAGCAATTCATTTTTTCCCCCTTAGGACAGTTAACCAGAGAAAATTGGACATTTATACCATATGATTTGTGCTCCATGTGTTGTCTTCAGTTTAACTTTATTTATGTCCTTTTACTATCCCAGTACCTTGTATGTTGACCTTAAAGTGTGTTGGCCTTACTCCACTCTATTAAGAGACACTCTACCTAATTAAAGTGGGAGTCATCAGTTGCGACTTAGCCAAATGATAGAAATAATGGTAAAGGACAGCCTCCAATGAGAGAGAGTCTTAACTTAAAGGTATGGAAGGTGGCTGAAAAATGTTAAAAGAAATTTGTAGCTTTCACATATGTTTTATTTTCTTTAGTAGTAAAATATACAAAGAGAAGTTTATATAAAAGGTATAGTCAAACTTTAAAGAAAAATAATAGAACGATTCCCCTGTGAACTCTCTACAACATTAAGAATAGTTATCTGTATCCTATAAGCCTCCTGTGTGCCCTTCCTTAATTACATCCCTCTCCCTTTCCATCAGAGGTAACCACTTCCTTACTTTTGTATTAATCATTCTGCTTTTCTTGCATGGTTTTATCACCTGTGGAGGTATCACTAAAAATATATATGATTTAATTTTGCAAAACTTAACAAGAACAAATCTAGCCGTTTTAAAAAAAAACCTGTTGCCCTCGTTGATTCCGACTCATAGTGACCCTACAGGACAGAGTAGAACAGCCCCATAGCGTTTCAAAGGAGTAACTGGTGGATTCAAACTTCCAACCTTTTGGTTAGCAGCTGAATGCTGAACCACTGCGCCACCAGGGCTGCAATAATGCAGTTACTGGGAGATGACTCCTGGGAGAAAATTAACTGAGCAGAGTCTGGGTCATAGTGTGGCTTCAACTTTCACAGGAGTTTGTAAGACCCCTCCCTGGGGAAATCAGTCAACAGGGTCATGAATGAGTTCTGGGAAACAGGGCTCACCACAGTCAGGGTATCTGGCAGAACTGTAGTATGGGCACAGTACTGAATATTTGGCAGGAGTATGGCAGGGTAGTAGGTGACTTTGAATTCCGTGCTTTTGTTACCTCGGTGTATGTCAAAACAGAACACTTCTGTGGGGTGCAATGAGTATCCTCAGCTGATCAGTAGGGCGTGTAGGGCAAGGGAGAAAGCTCATTAACACAAGGGAAGGGTGACTTACTTAAGCTTTCCGTCCTGGTTAAATGGATGGCACAACAGGGATCTTGATGAAAACAGCTTCAATTCATCTGTCTTTTGAGGCACACTGCTCCAGGCTGGCCTCATTGCTCTCTACATGTGATACACAACCAGTGTTCTAGGATTTTTGCTCGTAATCCTTCTGGTAGATTACATTGACTTCTCTCCCATGCTGGATTTCCTGTTCCTTGCATCTCATGTTTTCCTCTTTCTTGATTTTCTCTCTCATTTTGGTGACACACATCCGCCAGTGTCTACTTGAGAAAAGGTTCATGGAAGTTAGATTTTTCGAGTGCTTGCATATCTGAAAATGTCTTTATCCTCATGTTTGAATGATAGTCTGGCTGACTGTAGACTTTTAGGTTGGAAATATTTTTCCTTTTAAATTTTGAAAACATTACTTCATTGACATTGTCCACTAAATACAGAATAGAATAAAATTCTAATTTTATCCTTCAATTTTCTTCTGTAGGTGTCACAGTTCGAGTGCCTCAAACAACTACGTATGTTGTAAACAGTGGACTAACGCTGGGATCAGCGGGACCCCAGCTCACAGTACATCACCGACCACCACAAGTGCATACTGTAAGTGTCCACGCTTGGCTTTGCCAGACTCTCAGCTGTAAAATTTTCTTAAGAGTAGTTTTGTCAAAGGGAAATGATAGGTCTGTTTTTCCAGCAGGAGTTTAAGAAAATTCGTCTCATCTTACCATTATGAACAAATGTTTCTGGGATACAGTGGTCATTGCGGATCATCGAGTTTGTCTGTACTGTACAGAAAGAGTCTACAGATAGAGCAGAGGAGCTAAAGAGACCACTGCTAACTCATGGTTCAGTTTAAAAGGATGTTTTCTGTTTTTTGATGCCCTAACCTTATTCTTTTCCTCAAAACATTCTACCAGTTCTAACCACTACATTGTCATCAACTTATTGTTTTTAACAATCCAGTGGTATTTAGAATTCATTTATTAAGAGATACAGAGAAATCCAAGGATGTGTACTCAGATTATGCCCCCAAAACAATGTCACATTATCCTATGATATGATTGTAACTGTGTTTGGTTGATATGAAGTATACCATGTAAATGGAAATGCTAGTTTTATATTAGAGAGACTTAGCAAGACTAATGTAACAACTTTTTACCTGGGAAAACATCCTTTTTAAAAAATATTTATAGTGATTGCTACCATTTATTGAGTGCTTACCATGTGCCAGGCACTGTTAATATACGGGGTCCTCACACAGGAGTGCTTTAGAATAGTTCACTGTTGCTGTCCTTTTTTATAGATAAAGGTACATAGAAGGATTAAGTAACCATACCTAGTAAGTGGAATAGAACGCATGATTCCATTCCTAGAGCCTATGCTTTTAACGGCTACTATTTTTCTTGTCGCACCACAGTGAGAAAAATCAGTGTCATAAATGGAGCACTTACTATATACTGGGCACTTTATGTGTATTATCTTACTTAATCCTCAAAACCCTGTGAGGATTATTATCATTTTTTGTTAGAAAAGGATACCGTGTCACAGAGAAGTTAAGTGATTGCTCAGTGTCATCACCCAGTGTCAGATCCAGCCCAGTTTAAAAAAACTCACGTTGACTGCATCAGCCTGAGACCAGAAGAACTGGATGGTGCCCAGCTACCACCAGTGACCACCCTGACAGGGAACACAACAGAGAGTCCCGGAGGGAGCAGGAGAAAGGTGGTGTGCAGAACTCAAATTCTATTAAGAAGACCAGACTTAATGGTCTGACTGAGACTGGAGGAACCCTGGAAAGCATGGCCCCAGATTCTCTACCAGCCCAGAACTAAAACAATTTCCGAGGCCAAGTCTTCAGACAGGGATTGGACTGGACTGTGGGACATAAAGTGATACTCGTGAGGAGTGTGCCTCTTAGCTCAAGTAGATACAAGAGACTAAGTGGGCAGCTTCTGTCTGGAGGTGAGATGGGAAGGCAGAAAGGGTTAGGAGCTGGCTGAATGGACATGGGGAATTGGGTAAAAAGGAGGAGTGTGCTGTCACAGTATGGGGAGAGCAGTTAGATTCACATAACAATGTATGTATAAATTTTCATATGGGAAAAAATAAAAAATTTAAAAGGAAACGGATTAAATTAATTTTAATAATACATTTTATTTAATCCAATCTATAGCAAAGATTCATTTCAATATATAATCAATTAGAAAACAAAACCCCCCCCAAAAAACCTCATGTTGTCTGATCCCAGCACTTTCAGAATATTTTCACTGTGCTTCACATCTGACCCTATTAGGGTATGTGGCATATATATCATTACTGTTGTTTACAACTGGAAATAAATTTTCATCACATATTCCTTCAAAAAATGTGTAACAACAAAATTCTTTATTATTTTATACATTTGACAACCAATCAAAGCCAGCTTGTCTGTCTGCCTGCCTTCTTGCCTGCCTGCCTGTCTGCCTTCCTTAAACAGAATCCCATTTTATTGTCTTAGAATAAACTGTGTATCTCTTAGAGAAGAAGCATTCTTTTTTTAGTTTTATTTTAATGTAGTGTTTAAAAACTTTACATTTGAATTTTCAAACATATATGAAAGTAGAATAATATAATGGTAATGGTGTCCACATACTGCCATCGAATTTCAACATTTAATCTGTAAAACTTTAATAAAAACCTCATTGCAATGGCAGAAACAAACAAAAAAAAAACCTTTGGGGTTTGAACAGATTCAGAATCTAGAATTTTAACAATTACAATGGATATTACAGGCCTTTTAAACTATTATCAAACTTCTTAAACCCCTGTGCCCCCTCCAATCAGAGTTTATGGATTTAGCCATCTTCTTTTACATCTTGCTAACTGTATGTTTATTTAATGTTATTTATTTAAGTGATTACAGTAAGTTATCTTAGGTTAAAAATATGATTTGAGAGGAAATACATCAACGCGGACAGTACTCAAATAATTTCTACTTAGCTTTCAATAATCAATCTAACTAAATTTGATTTCTTTTCTGTAACTTTTTTTTTTTTTTTTTTTTGGCTTCTTAACTACGGATTGTACGTTTTTCCAGACATGTAGATGATTTTTTCCACTAGGTATTTGAATTTCAGCAGCACATTTGCATTCCATGGAATTATTCAGCATATCCTTTTTGAGTTCTTACCGTGTGCAAATTACTGCTGCTGAACTTTGAGAAAGTATGGAGATTAAAAAGATGCCATCAGACCTTATCAGTTCACTATTCAGCATATGCAAATTATCAGTGTAATTAAATACATAGTAAAACATTTTTTATATAATGAATTTCAGTTACAGGAGTCTTATTTTTGTAACATTTCCAGTATAAAGGCAGTGAACAATGATATATTCCGCTTGGAAAAAAAAATCTTTCATATCCCTAGTTCCTGGCTCTTGCTTTAATCTTTCTTAAATTGCTACAGTATAATTTTAAAAGCCAGATATGATGATGATGATGACAATGTTCTAGTGTTAGACAAATCAGTGTATCTTCCTAAGCTTACTGTTCATGCGTTTTCATTGTCTGGCCTCAGCCTATCTTTCCAAATTTATCTTTCACTATTTTCACATAGTCTGTGTCCAAGAAAAAGCTGACATTTGTTCTTGCCCATAAATCCTCTCATTTTCCCATTCCCATGTTTTTGCTCATGCTTTACCCATTGGCTGAAAGGTACACAATTTCTGTATCTCTAAGCCTATCTTCAAGGTCCAATTTAAATGTCACCTCTTTTATACAGACTGGCACAGTGCTAAGAGCATAGTAAGCATTTGGCATTAAATGTGCTTGTTTATAAGAATATGGTACTGTCTTTATATGTCAAAACAGCCTGAAAATGAAAATATAATTGAATTCTCAAGTTTCATATGATAAACTGCTACCTATGATATTAAAAAATGTTGCTTTATACCAAAATGATAATCTTGTAGCATAGAGAGAATTAAATAGTAAATTATTTTGTTAAATGATTTTTTCACTTTCTCAAGATGAAAGTCCATCAGCAAGGTCTTTTATTTGCTGAGAAAAAACTCAGTATTTTAAGTCTAGGAATATAGTAGAAGGACCCTTAGCACCATTGTATGTGGCATGATTGGTCGGAAGTCACCAAATAGAAGTTGCCAAATTTGGTGTGGTCAGAAGGCATGTATTACTCAAAATTCTTAATGTAAAATTATATCTCTTGGTATGATCTCTAAGGTGTTGTATTTCTAGCATTCTGAAATGGTCTTTCTGTGGTCATTATAAATTAATGTGGCTCTTGTTTTGTTAGGAGCCCCCACGCCCTGTGCACCCAGCACCCTTACCAGAAGCCCCACAACCACAGCGTCTGCCCCCCGAAGCTGCCAGCACATCTCTGCCTCAGAAGCCACACTTGAAGTTGGCACGAGTTCAGAGTCAAAATGGCATTGTACTGTCATGGAGTGTCCTGGAGGTGGATCGAAGCTGTGCCACTGTTGATAGCTACCATCTCTATGCTTATCATGAGGAACCCAGTGCCACTGTGCCCTCACAGTGGAAAAAGATTGGGGAAGTCAAGGCACTTCCTTTGCCCATGGCATGTACTCTTACTCAGTTTGTATCTGGCAGCAAGTACTACTTTGCAGTACGAGCCAAGGATATTTATGGACGATTTGGACCTTTCTGTGATCCTCAGTCAACGGATGTGATCTCTTCTTCCCAGAGCAGTTAAACCTTGGAGCCTTTATCTCTGTTCCTCTTTCGAAAGTTCCACTTTTTGGTCTTGTTTTTAATCTTGTGCATGATACCCACTGTAAAATCAGCGTTCTGCAAGAGTTCTTGGACAGATGTGTCTATACACTACATTTGTTTTTAACCAAAAGTAAAATAAACTCAGCCTATAAAGCAAGAATCTATTTTCCTGGACAATTCAGGCTTCAAGGTTTTGAAATGTAAATGTGCACCTTGCTTTTAGTTTTGAGGCTGGGGAATATTTGTGGGTGTTTGTGTGTGTTTTCCTTATTTACATGTTTCTCGCAGTGGAATCTTCCACTTTCATTCTCAAATTTACCTCTTTTCCAGCGAAGTAGATCAGAGGATCTGAGGTATGTAACTGGCATGATACAATTCTGCTTCTGAGGGATCTGTAGGATCATAGTGAATGATTTAAACTGAATCTAAACAAAACCCAAAGAAAGAAAGAAAAAGAAAAATGGCTAAATAGTTTAAAATAGGTTAATTTGAACACAGGAAAGGATCTGTTCATCTTTCTTTTGTCTCTACTGGGTTGTTTATTAGGTGAAAAAGATCTCAGCGGCCCCTCCTTTTCCTCATTGGATGTTTTAAATTTATTTTGTGCCTTAAAGACTGACTACAAAAATAAACACGGCCATATGTCCATTGTTGTTTACTCTTCCCTCTCAGCCTTTCACCTTCATTCCTCCCCCATCTCCAGCCAATATACCCTTAGCCCCACAAGTAATTTTTAACCCAAGGCTTATATATATATATTCTCACCTGTGGTATCATTAGATTTAACTTCAAAAGTTTGACTTGCTGTTTTCTTCTGTAAGAATATGGATGCTTTTGTTTTTGGTCACTATTTAAATTGACTCTGTGTAAAGTGAACGAAGAGAAAACCAGATTGTGTAAGAAACTTCTCCTTCACACATGTTTTACTATCCATGTTGTATAGTGTGCTAGAGATTATGAAAGAAATTTCAGTTCACTTTATCATCAAAACCTAGTGTTCTTTCAAAGGAAGAAGTGATAAAATTCACAAAGTACAGTAAACTAAAATATCAAAAGGAGAGCTCAATGTCCTCTTTATTCTCTCATCAATTTTCCTGTTTTAACCTTTAAACTTTGTTTTGATGGTGCCAAATTGAATCTCATTTACCCTGTGACAGCTTTGAATAGAGATTAAAGTGTACCCTTTTGGGTCATTTTCTGTAACAATTAGATATAAACTCTTGTGTAACTCCATTCCTCTTCAAAGTTAATAGAATTCAGCGTAGATCATGGATTTTCAACGAGTGCCAGTTAGACTGGTTATCAGCTCAGTGTTGAAGTGTAGATAGTTTAGTACAGGAAGGCTGGGTAAGTTCGGGGATGAGGGTATGATTGGGAATGTTTTTAAAAGAATTAATGGAGTTTGTGAAATAACTTTTCACGTCATCTGCCTCTTGCCATATTTGACTTCATATTCCTACTTTCTCAAATTAGTCATTTTTTTCCTGGAATTAACAGGAGGGAGGTATCCCTCCTATTAGTGCTGTTTTGTTTGCAGCTTTGATTTTGTAATAGGAATTATTCTGGTTGTAAAGTTCTCTTTAGAGAAAGTTTACTTTCACTGAAGGTCATGTACTGTCATCTTAGTTGTGAAGTTTGATGCTGAAGAAGGCCTACAGATTGCCAAAATGTCAGTGCTCTGAAACCTTCCTTTCACTTTCTGAAAATGAGACCACAATGATCATTAGGTTTTGACGACTCAAATTTGCCAACCAACTATGTAGATGTTACTCAATTCTAGGACTGATTTTAATGATGATGGTAAAGAAGTTGTCAATGTCATGACAGTGGACATTTCAAAATGGAGAAATTGATGATCTCCTGGATGTATATGAACACCTGTCTATATCTGCATGTATATACATTCTTACCTACAATGGTTTCAGTGTGGATTATGTGTTCAAGATGATTCCTGTGTACAGAATTATTAGAAAGCCCATGTTCAAAATTGTTCTGTATTGGCCTGTTCTATGGTCACGTGACAACTATTTGCTTACCTAGCCTAGAAAAAGTTCCCTTGATAAATGTTTATGTTCATTAATCCTTAAAAAAAAAAAAAAAAAGCTTTCTTAGCATATAATCAGGTGAGAAAGCCCAGTAGAATGAAAACATTTCACTGTTTTAGCATATATTGTGTGTTCTCTATCAAAGGAAAAAAAAAAAAAATCTCAAATAGTAACCTGAAAATAGTTTTACTGCAGTAAATCCTTAAAACTTTTTATTCCAGATGGTGGAAGGAAGGTATAAAGAGAAGATTGCAGTGGTTTAAGGAAAGAGTATATGGGCTCCTCAAATTAGCCTGCCGTGGGATTTATAGGCAACAGCTGTATTAGATGTACTAATAGGTACTAGGCCAGAATTCCAAGCAGTCATTTTGGGCAGGTTTTAATGTTGTTGAGCGCTGGCTTTTTATTCAGTTTGTCTCTTTTTGGAGAGAGAATGGAGGACACAGCTAGAAATAGCTACTTAAAACAGACTTCTGGTAGCAGTTCACACTCCATGGTACCTTTTTTATTTCACGGTACCTTTTCACAAAGTATTACAAATAAGCTCAATTATCCCATTTGGGGAATACAAGTTTGCTACCTTTTTAGCCTGATGATACGTGTGTAAGTAAGTGTTGCCCTGTTGGAAATCTTGGAAACTTCTGATGTTTCAACCTGAAGCATAGGATGTGTATATGGCATTTAAAGGTAACAGTCATGTTTGTTATTCTCAACTTTGCACTTTGTCAGAGTAATTTTCACCCTGTTCTAAGTGTGACTCTACTGCTTTTTAAAATTATGTTCTTGCCAGTAAATTTATAAACAGCATTCAAAGAAAACATCTGTTCTTAACAGTTAACTTTATGTGATAACTATATCCCTCTATTTCTCTGGATTCACTCTTAAAAATATGCAGAATATTGTATACTGTTTAACACAGTATAAGTTTAGGAGAGAAGTGGAGAGTGGACCTTTCCTCTTTGAAAAGTAAATTATTTATTGAGAGACCATTTGCCTCACAGAGAGGTCTTCCCTACTCACCCCCCGCCCTCCCCCACCTCCATTGCCAGATAATACCTGGAAAAGAATGACCAAAAGCAGGGAGCTTAGAATCTTCCTTGGGTGCATATATCTGCAGAACTCCTTAGGCTGATTGCGCCATACCGTTTTCTTACTGTATTGGATACAGTAAGATAGATTTTTGTTGTTTGTCCCTTTGCGTTAATTATTCTCAATCATTTATGCAGCAAGGTTAGTGTTAATATTGCATGATAGGCATATATCTTGTTCCGTAAGTTTTCTAGTACTGTACAAGATCAACAAAATAATGCCTGTGGTATCCTCATCTCTCACCTTACATACTGTGATCTTAGCACAGTAGAGTACTGCAAAGACCTTCTAAGTGTTCTCCCCGACTTTCCTTCTTGGGCTATTTCAGTGTCCTGTGATTATTTTTTTATTTTAATTTCTTCACGGACCCATCATTGGCCAGTTTTATTCTGATTTCCAGTAAAACCATGTTCCAGTATTAGATTATTTGCAGATAACTTTATCTAAAATCACCATATGATTCTGCCTTCCTATTTCCTGGGCAAATGATGCCTTTTGTAGGGGGAAGGGGCAAAAAGAAAAAAGAGCAGTTCTCATAAGGTGTTTTTGTTAGTGTGGCAGACGTACCTGCTTTCTGAAACTCATCCGTCCCCTTGAGCCAGCCAGTGGGGAGGAAGAGGACAATACAAAACACGTTTTGTCGTCTCATTCAAATTATTTTTTCATGTTCAAACAAGTTTTTCTTTGTTTCTTATTTGTAGTCAGCTAAGTATCCATGATTTAGATTTAAATGCTGTCTTTTTTTTTTTAAGTTTTGTTTGTAAATAAGGTAACTGGGCAATTAACTGCCTTTTGAGGATCCTGACTTTAGTATTTTATCAACCATTTCAAAATTAAATATAAAAATAAATCCTTTGTAGGGAATTTGCATCCTGATTTTTCTTTATTGCAGCTGAAAGTGTAAATAATAAGGCAATGTAAGACCTTATGTCTAATATCAACTGGGTAAAAGTTGCCCTTTTTATTAGGTTTTTTTTTTTTTTTTTTAAATGTACAGTAGAGTGGTGTCTGTATAAGTGTTAACTGTAGTGGGGTTTTGTCCAGCAAGCCTGAAATTTATACTTTGAAATAAACTAGTGGGTTTTTAATATTCTGAGTACTCTGATTCATTCTGATTGTTCTCAGCCTTTGTGTTTCTTTCTTTTGAAAATCTCCCCCTTTGTTAAAAATCACCTGACTACTAGCTGAAAGGCTGGCAGTTCAAACCCCTCCATAGGCACCTTGGAAGACAGGCCTGGCAATCTGTTTTAGAAAGGTCACAGCCTTGAAAACCCTATGGAGCGGTTCTCTGCACACATGGGGTCCACGTGGACTCTCCATGAGTTGGAACTGACAGCAACGAAACAACATACTATTATACAATATGTTTGCTCAACCTACCTGGTAATTCCATGGCTCTCAAACAACATGCAGTTCTCCAGCATTCAAAGAAAAGTTACTGTGCATTGTCGCTGCCCAATTGGATATGCTGCTTTTAACTAATGTTTTAACTAACTGTTCAGTGGGCTGATTGTACCATATATTTTCTTACTGTATGGTGTGTTAACTGATTTTTTGTTGTGTCTTTTCTATATTGTACACCTAACCTGCACTACAAAAACACTCAACTGATGCCCGTTAATGACCAGAAAAATCACAACTCCATCATCCCCTAGGGCTTGATCATTGAGTATATCCAGCTAGAGGAAGGGGAAAGAACATAGAGGAGTACAGGTTCTTACGTGACAAGTCTGGAAATGGCACTTATTCCATCTCTGATTCCATGGCTAGAACTCAAGACACCTGGCACCGCTACCCAGGGGAACCTGGGAGAATAGGGTCTAACTAACTATGTGGCCAGGCATAAAAAGAGAGTATGTACTTTGGTGAGCCAGGGAGTAGTTCTACTCTCTTGTGGTACATAAACTTGTATGCTGAAGCCTGGTATTGTTATTTGTCATATTTAATATTGTTTCTACAGTGCTCTATAATAGAGAATTTACTATTAAAATCAGTGGTATAAAGTGAAAGTGACAGACTGAATTTAATGTATTTTATTAAGATTAATTCTGAAGGGAAAAACATAGCTAAAATAGTGCCTTTGGTATCTTATTTGCAGCCTTGTATTTCCTCATCTCCGTCTTTCATTTTCTGTCAAGTTTCAACGTTGGTTGCATGGTGATAAAATCAAAGTTGTAGGCCTCTGGCATACCCTGATGGAGAGTTTTGTTGAAACGATTCCAGTAAAAAACAGGGAGGCCATTTTGTACTGTGGGACCACTAATGGCATAGGCTGTCAACTTTGATGCTAGATACATATCTGCCACCTGGAAAGGGAGGAAGGAAACATTTTAGAAAACCATTAAAAAAAAAAAAATCCATGGCTTTTTTTCCGTCTGTCTCCAAAGTCACAATATTAGCCCCTATGAAAACAAAATTTTCTTGTAAGATTTTACATATCTTTATATGATACTCTTCTGTATCCATTTGGCATCTACATGGGAACTGACTAGTGTTAACAAAGTGTGAGGTCTGTAGTCAGATTACTCATCTTCAGAATTCTAGTGCCAAAACTTCGAATTACTTAACCCCTCTGTGTCTCAGTTTTCTCATTTGTAAAATGGAACTAATAACCCTACTACATAGAGTTGTCATGAGGTTTAGTGAGAGCAAATGCTCAGCAGTGCATAGAATCCCTTAAGTCTGCAACAAAAATTACTAGGGCAGTAACAAGGGTTTTAAAGTAGAAGGAATTCACTATAAAAAAATGAGCCGTGTTCTCAAAAACACCTGAATACTGGGTGGCAGCGTATCTTGACCTTGGATGGGGAGGAAAACGTCTTACAACTTCTGGTTTTCCCCACTATTCTGAAGAGCTCTAAAGAGAGAAATTATATTTTTGAAATATATCCTTCAGCAGAACCTTTTCTGATGACAAAATGGTAGGCTCCTGTCTCCAAAAGAAAGGAAACTTCCCAGTGAAATTTGGCAGGTGGGAGCTTGGCTTGCCTTCTCCCAGGCAAAGCAGTAGAGGTAATTTTCTTTGTGTATTCTGGCAAGAATGTTTGCAAATACCATTAAAAGCAAATAAATACAAAACATTCATTGGGGCTTCATATGTGCCAGATTCTCCACATCCACTGTCTTTTTTTTTTTTTTTTTAATTACACAGCAAACATTGAGAGTCATTAAGGCTAAAGCTTTGCTATCATATAGCTAAAAAGTAGGCTGAGCTGGAACTCAGACTATTCTAAAGCATCATGTTCAGGCATTGAAAAAAAAAACCCGTTGCCGTCGAGTCGATTCTGATTCACAGTGACCCTATAGGACAGACTAGAACTGCCCCATAGGGTTTCCAAGGAGGAGTGGCTGGTGGATTCCAACTGCTGTCCTTTTGATAAGCAGTGGAGCTCTTAACCACCGCCCCACCACGGTTTTCGGCTGATAGAAAATGTGTGGGGTTGGCATTCTTGTGCATAGTTTTCTGAGCTGAAGATAGAATGGTTATCTCAACTCCTAACAGGTTTCTTCCAGAATTTAGGACTAGCAGTTGGAGCCCTGGTAGTGCAATGGTTAAGAGCTATGGCTGCTAACCAAAAGGTTGGCAGTTCTAATCCACCAGCCACTCCTTGGAAACCCTATGGGGCAGTTCTACTCTGTCCTATAGGGTTGCTATGAATTGACCCAACAGCAATGAGTGGTTTTTTGGGTTTAATGTTTACGGGAGAAGCCCTGGTGGTGCAGTGGTTAAGCTTTCAACTGCTAACAGAAAGATCAGCCGTTGGAACCCATCAGTTGCTCCATGGGAGAAAGATGTGACAGTGGCAGTCTGCTTCTGTAAAGATTACACCTTGGAAACCCTATGAGGCAGTTCTACTGTGTCCTATAGGGTCGCTATGAGTCAGAATAGAATCAAGGGCAACGGGTTTTTTAGCAATGCAAATGAAAGGACGTATGCCCAAGCCAAAAGTGCAAAAGGATGTGGTAGAATGATTCAGTTTCTCCACCAACCAAATGGCTAACTCATCCCCTGGATAACAGAGATCCAGTGCTGTGCAGGTAAATGTTTAACAACCAGCTCTCTGAGGGATTTGTAGTGTTTGCTGATTTCTGTAGTGTAAATACTTCCACCATGGCCAATTTCAAGCTATCCACATGATAGTCAACTGGCTTTAACAACTGGCTTTCACAAGCCTGTACAAGCGAGCTTCAGCACACCACTGAACACCTAGTTATATTAAGAGACACACCACAGCACTTCACAGTTCTAAAAAAGAGAAAACCCGTTAGTGCTTAGGGCATCTGGTTCAATAGTTGTTCCGTCAGCTAAATTCAATTCATGTTTCATATGAAATCACACTGCTCTCAGTAACGTCTCTGGACTTCGGGCCTGTCTGGTAAAGACTTACCATCCTCATGACCATCATGATCATTTACATCTACAAAATAACCCACTAAGTACTGCTGTAAACATTTCGTAGATATTAACTGTTTATTCTTCACAATGATATTATGAGGGAAGTACTGTTATTTCCATTTTACAGATGAGGAAACATTACCGTTCAGTGGTAGAGCAGAGACTTAAAGTTAGGCAATGGGACCTGCCATCAGAATCTCTGAAAAAGCTGATTCCTGAATTAAGTTTACAGTTAGAGACAGTACTGTGCTTTATACCACAAAAATCTTCTCAGCACATTTGCCTTTGAGTGAGTCTCAGTACTGGTGGGAGTTAAATTCAAACGTCAATAGCATGTTACCTTCGTGTCATAGCAACCTGCAGGGACTGGGTTAACTGAGGCGAGGTCCCCACGGCAGCAGATGGTACTACAGGGATCACCATTACTGTAAGGATCCTCCTTATAATCTAGGAAACAAAACAATGGGGAAAAGACTGAGTACTGGCTGTTCTGAGATACTTTCAGCCACAGTGAGCTTTTTCAACCTGTTAAAGCCTAGGTAATCAGTATATTACTCATAGGTCGACTCACCCTAACCTGCTCCCAGATAACAAAAGTCTCCCTTGGTTTGTACTAGGGAGGATCAACTGCTAATCCCCTGCCCTAGGCCCAGCCTGTCCTCAGGAAGCTTGCTTCGTGAAGAGTGGGTGGAAGAGAGATAATAGAGGATAGATATGCATGAATCGGCATGTGAGAGAATTTTTCCAACAAAAGAAATACAAATTTGACTTTGATACTGTTAATTAAAACTACAGGTATTTACTTTTTTTTAGCTGCTTTGACCTTGAAAGGAAACCTGTATTGGGGCGGCTGGGGGAAAAATACCCTACATGGGTTATTTCTGGTTTTCCATAAAATTTTTTCAACTAAAAAATCTGAAGAATCTTCTTCCCCTGTTACGTTATACATAAGGACAAAATTCTGTTTGGTTGAGTATAAAATATGTTTAGTATTAACTGAATACTAAATTCTTAATAACTTCTTATAATTCCTTTTAGTATAGAGACGATAAACTTACATGAATTCTTTATCCAAGGGGAAGAAAAGGAGTTTTGAAGAAAGTCTTGAGAAATGTGCTACGTACTGTTGTATCGCATGATATATTTCATAGACGCCATATCAGTCACTTTTCCTTGATCGCGCCGGAAGATTTTGGCTCGTGGAGCCATTTCATAAGAGTAGTCCATACCCAGCTTCTGAACTAACAGTGGATAGCCGCTCCAGTTGTAGATCTTTTCATGGAAAGGAATGTTGTAGGAGGGCCAGTATCCTGATTGGGAATGGAAGGGGAGGAAGGGTGGAGATGAGAGGGAGAGAGAAGACAGAGGGAACCCATGAAGTCAGTTATTAATGATGATTTTGAGAATTGGCACAGATGTGTAATTACATAATGATACTGTATAGAAAATAAAACTCTGAATGTGAACACTGGGAGCCAAACCAATCTTTTTAAA